TCGTCATTGTAGGCTACAAGTTCACTCTCGGTAGCTGGCTAGATGAATATTCCGACGGAGAGTATAAGCGCTCAACAATTCTGAATAAAAAAAAAACAGCCTTTAAGACAAGACTTAAATTGGGTCGTTATAGGATGGTATGAAAGTCTAACAGAATAAAAAAAAATTACATAAGATTATGAGACTTATAAAATTATTTAAAAAGATCTAGCTAGCCAAAGTCAATTACATAACAAGTATGCTCTTTGTAAATTAAATAAGATTGCATCATTCTCACGCAATAAATCAGGCAGGCTTCACTCTTTATAAGGTGCAACTCAAATAACTCTTGGAACTCCTTTATTCAAAACTCATTTGTATTATATAATAAAGCATTTAACAGATAACATATATTTTAGGCCTATACCATCTCACTTTCAATTACACTTAAGCCTCTGAATTGCTATATTTATCTTGTCTTTTTTATACATTTATCCTAAAATATGCCCCTGCCAATTGTGTCTTTTGAATATGTTTGTAGTTTAGTTAGCATTTTATGGTAAGTACAGTAGTTTAAGTTCCATCATTTATATTGTAATATGTCTTGATAATTGTCTTATGCATCTTATTATGTGTGGTAGTTTAAGATTTTATTTGTTCTGTTGAAGCATCTGGAAACCAAATTTCATGTAATCTATGTTATGCACGTTGACAATTAAATATATCTTGTATCTTGTATAATACAACCATTTGTGCTTAATGTCAACTTGGGTGTATGCCGCATAAAGCTGATTTTAAAGGAGAAGGAAGAATCGACGATAATTGTGGCAGAAAAAGAAGATATTCATTATTCATATTGTATATATTATAGCTTTGTGTAAAACCTCTATGCTCTTGTAATGGATAAACAGTACGCGCTTCATGTGAATTTCACCTTTTAGGAGTACCTTTTTAAAGATAGGATGCTTGCCGTAATTCTCCATCTGCTCCCTTCATAAGATATTTAGCTCGAAGTCTAATTAAAATTAGGTATTATAGTATATAAAAATAATATATCGCTCCAATTATGTATCGAGAACTATGTGCCGAAAGTTATTACAGATTTCTAAAAAAAAACACCAAAACCGTAGAAATCAATTATTTTGATGCCGTAGTCTGCTACGCAGTGGCCTCACATGAAAGCATGTTCGCATTTAAGATGTTTCCCAGGTAGCTATGAACATGGTATGAACGATATGAACCGTCCAATGAGATGATATCGCGAATATCAAGGGATTTCGTTTGTAATTATTACTCATTAAGACAAGTTTTGCAAAGGTCCTCGTCTGAGCGAGTATCTCGTGATAACCATTTTAAGTCTGCGCCTGACACAGTAGTCTCTTACAGTAAGCCTAGCGTTATTTAAATGAAGTTGTATGCGCTGCCTAGAAACCAATCTCTGATATCAGATTGGAAGCAAATGATTTCTAAACTCGTTTGCACATGCTTGGTGGAATAGCGCTGTTTTCGATTAAAAAAAAAGACTAAAAAAACAATGACAACGAACCTTTTCTGTCATAATTTGAAATTGTCTTTATTGCACGTGAAAATGAAACCTTGGAGGGAGCATCAACTAACAGGGTTGATGTCGGAAACTTTCGAATAAAATAACACTAGTTAGGCCTATATTCTGACCGACTGGGGGCCAAGTAGAATTAGAGCCATATCCCATCGTCGGACATAAAATTATATAATCCAACATAGGCCTACGAGAAATATAAAATTGGACCCCTTCTGGATTTGGACCCGACACCCTCCAATACCACTAGATCCACGGCGCTGTCTATTGGGGTGGGAGCCATTCTATCGATGTAAAGATGATACAATACGAAAGAGGGTAAAAAAAAATCAAATTCGATCCCCGAGAAAAATGATAATTTATCGAAAATCTATAGATGATAACATGGATCGAGTTTTATTACAAAGTGCGACAGAGTTTATTACAAAGTGTGACTGCTCATTTTATTACAAAGTGTGACAGACAATTATTACAAAGTGCGACAGCTCAGTTATTACAAAGTGCGACAGACTTTATTACAAAGTGCGACGCAACACACGTGATTTGTCAAAAACCAATCAGAAAACGATTTGTTTCTGCATTCGTCGTCCGTTCAACCCACTCTTTTACACTTCAACAACATTGGCCAATCTGAATTAATTTAACATTACACTTGGACAACATATTGGCCACCAATCTGAATTAATTTAACATTACGCTTGAACAAAATGGCCTATTATTTGGCCAATCTGAATAGACCGAATCGGGGACTCCAGCTAATACTGGTCACGTGACATTATAGTGGGTACAAAATATAAACATACCGTACTCGCGCGATCAAGCGCCCGGGCGCTTAAAATATTTTTTTGCACTTTTTGAGGGGCGCTTATTCAAACGGGGCGTTTATTCGAACGGGGCGCTTATGAAAACAGAGTGGAAATTGATGGGCGCTTATGGAAATAGATGAAAATCGAGGGGTTCTATGAGAACTTATTAAATTCAAGAGGCACTTTTTGAATGAAAAACGATTATATATGGACATCAGGAAACCGCAAATTACGAATGGTGGTGCGGCGGAAAAGATAATCGTCCAGCGAGCATGCTTGCCATTTATTTATTTATTTATTCAACCATATTTCGAGAGGGTGACCCATTCAGCGTGAGCTGATTTTAAGGGGCCCTCGACAATACAAGAACATATTTACAAAAAACAAACATAACAAGTTAAAAGATTATTTACAAAAAAATTTCATGACAAGAATGTTGTGAGTACAGTATTAGGCATACATAACAGCAGAATAGCAGATGAAATTAGTGGTGGTGGTTAGCTTGTTGGCCATATTCGGCCGATTGAGATTACCTGGATGTCAATAATTTTGTTTAGGTGGCCAATGGTATACGAGCTTTGCTCTTTTGTTGGTTATCCTTCCTTTGATCAATATATGAAAATGTTAAGTTTTTGGAAAATAAACTGAAACTGAAACTGAAACTGATCATTGCAGGTTTTCTTGAAAACTCAGATAAGATTGTGTTAAAGGTGCAAATTGTCGGAAAAGCAGTAGAACTAGGCTATAGACAAAATATAAGAAGATGAAAGTTGGAAATATACTGTCTGTCCATGGAGCTCTCATCTGTCCAAGATAAATATCCTCATTTTTATATTATCTACAGGAATGTGATTCCACTCCACACCTCAAATCATGCCAACATCCACAGTCACAGGATTGAATGAGGGGGCGTTTGTTCAAATTAGAAGGGGGAGCTTATTCAAACGCGGCGCTTAAGAAAATTTTCACGTTAGGAGGGGCGCTTATTCGAGACTCACTGGAGCAATATGCACGTCGTGATTCGTTAAGGTACCGTACCTTTCCTTGAAAAATTTCCAAGCTTTATTCCCACTATCCATTGGAGCCATACCAAACCAAACTGATAAGTATTTGAAAATTTAATTTTGGAATACTTCTAAGTAATTTACCAAATTATAACTCGCATTCCAAACAACATTTGCAACATATATGATGTGACTTACATCAACAAAGCGAAGCCATTTTCAATGCAATGTCTTCTCGCAATGTAAACAAACCCTAATACCCACTATAAGTCACGTGACCCGAGCCGCCGATTCGGTTTATTACTTTAACATTACACTTGAACAGCATTGGCATATCTGAATTACATTAACATTACACTTCAACAGCATTGGCCAATCTGAATTACTTAACATTACACTTCAACAGCATTGGCCAATCTGAATTACATTAACATTACACTTAAACAACATTGGCCAACCTGAATTACTTTAACAATACACTTTAACAGTATTGGCCAATCTGAATTACTTTAAAATTACACCTCGAAAACATTGGCCAACCTGATTACTTAAAATTGTGTTTCTAAAGAAAATGTCTGAAATGCAGATGCTCGTTATGCTGCACTCTACGTTTTACTTTGTGGTCCATACAGAAATAAGGCTAATTCTACATAAGCCATGGTTTTCGTAATTTACCATAAATTTGTCTCCGATTTAGGTACGCCCCGTAAGTAGGGCAATGGCCCATCAGTAATCTATACAATCTAATTCGAAGTTTTTCATAAAATCAGTAATTATGTTAGTGGTAGCTTTTCGCATGATCTGTATGTTAGGAATTAGCTTGAAAGTGCAGCGCGAGAAACCTGTCTCATGCCAGAAGACATGATGGCGGCAACGACGACCGTGGCGCACTACCATTAAATGGACCGATTTAATAATATTGTTTTAATTTAAATGATTAATCTATGCACGGTACTTTAAAAGTAGAATTCATAAATATTAGTCTATTTTATGAAGCGCTTCTCATCTTAGGGTACAATACAAAGCATTTTTAAATGCAGACCTATATAATAATAATTGGTACATAATGTTACTGTATTACTGTATTGATATCAGGCCTAATATTTATTAGTTCATCAACATTATTATCATCGCCATCATTATAATTACAAATACTAAAACAAAACATTATGGCATTACATAACTTCAGTAAATGTTCCAGTTAACAATGCATTGGATCAAAACAGTCTACCTTTTCCTCTAGCGCCACCACAATAATTCGGCTTGGAATCACCCTAACATTTTATGTCAAACGTTGCAACCTTGAACAGTTGCTATTAAAACAATTTATTGTTGTTCCCGTTTATGCTATTGTTCATATGGCTCAAGCTATAGGCCTATAATTCAAAATGAACAGCAGCTTGTATGGTTTCAATGTACAATGTGATTGGCATTTAGTCCTATGTTAAGACTAATTTATGTATATATATATATATATATATATATATATATTTTATATATAT